GGATGTCTGTGGAACCCAGGTTCAGCTCTCGCATTCGGCCGACTCCAGAAAACCTAAGGAAGCGATCACGATAAGGAGGGGCCGCATCGGGAGAGTATATGCGCCACACCAGTTACATGGCTACCAAGGAAGCGAAATGTGGCGCTTCCACGACGAAAAGTGTCCCTGTTGACTTGGGCGAGCTGCTTGCTGCTTTTCATTTTGGAGATCATTTCCCTTTTATCGGCTGTATCTTCCAACTTGCCCATGTAATGCCTTATCAATCAAAACACTATGCTTGTTGGCATGATGGCGGCTATCGGGGTTAACACGTCCGAACAACGTCGTTCTTTACCGTCGCTCATCCATGGTCGAAAATGAAAGGGCAATCAAAGGGGTACTATTTTGCTTATTTTTGACGGATTTCTTTGCTTTTTTCGCCATTGGCGTACTATTGAGACCCCCACGTCCCCTCTAAACCCCTCCTATCGTAATCGCTGCCTTTAACCCTTTCCGGACCGCCTGACACCCATGGGTGTCAGGCCCAATTTGCTCCCTGTGGCCGCCTGACACCCATGGGGTGTCAGGGCTGATTTTTCCGAGGATTCGGTTTTTCGACAAAATGTTTTGTTGTTACATATCTATGTAACATACTCATGTCGTACGTATGAAAAAACCTAGACTTCAATCTCAAACTAGTTCCTAAAATAACCAAAAACTAAATGGATTTCCACTTTGAGCTCAGAGAAAACAGTTATAAATCATTTGAAAACACTTCATACAACAGAATTTATGCCATCACGTGCACGTCGTATCTGATGCTATTGCATCCAAACGTTTCGGACATTTCTGGTCCCTTTTTCCCCATTACAACTTATTTTGAACAATTTTCATTCCTGCCTCCCTTTTATGGCCCTATCATTTTTTTATACAACAGTTTTCTGTCAAATTCACCACATATATACTTTAGACATGACAAATACAAAACGGGACAAAATAATGGTGTTGATGGAAATACAGGTCAAATATATATATTTATATTCGCCGCGCAGCACGCGGCGGTGAGCATAAAAAGGCGCCGGCCACACGCGCCCGCCACGGCAAAAGTGCGCGGTTCCGGGAAATGTTAACGAACCTTGAGGCTCGATACGATCCCGCCTCTGACCACAAGATGAACACGGCTCCCTTACCCTCAACACCTTCCTGCTTTCACAACTAACTAGCACCGTGAGACGGCAACGTCACATTTGCGTAGCTCCGGCCACGGCGTGAACGGGTCTATTGGATAACCGCTCATCCGATGGCGTATGGATTGTTGATGATTTGATTGGGTTCAATTTTGACCACCCTGCAGGAGGTTACTCGCACCCCTAAGCCCCGCTCTGTTGTGCCACCATGTGCAGGAGTGTTTCTATATTACGCTATTCAACCATAAACGTTTACATATGAAAGTAATCCTTTTTTCGGTGAAGCAACGTTCAATTTTTGGATATAATTACAAATTTTCAGGGATTTCAAAATGTGAATCTGGTTGAATTTGCCCAGACCACGATGACGTTTATTTCACTATTGCAACAGCAGCCGCTCTACAAAAGCTTCTTGAGATATAATCATCTCCTCTCGAGTTCCTTACCTAACATAACATCGGCGCTGTTCTGTGGCGACAATCCGTTTGGTACGTGGGTTTCCGTTCTTGAAATTGAATTTCTTGGCTGCTCACAAAAAGACAACCTCTTTGAGGTGTCAACCCACACGTTGTGAAGTCAGACGATCTCACTCGTTGTCAGGATCCTCACCAGAGTCAACTGTTCTTAGGGCAGTTTTAGAGGTGGGATGGAGTGTGTCAGATGGTGGTTGGGCCAGCAACGCTATCAATCATCGAAGGAGGCTCTATGCTAGGACCTCAAAGGGCTCATAAAAATTTTTGGAATTGGCACAAAAAACGTTTTTTACACACCTCATTTACGACCTTTCTAATGTGACCGCTTCTAGTCCTCCAATACAACTCTTTCCAAAAAGCACAGGCATGACCCCTTTCGCTGAATTTGCGAGAGAAGGAGGAAGGTCTAAAAGAGCGTTCGAAATGAAATGTGTACCATATGAGAGGACTTCGACGCTTTCTCTTCTTGTCTTCCTTACCTGCTGAACGATACTGAGAACTAAGCACGAGATTTTTTGCTATATGTATGTGGTGGAACGGCGTCGCGGAAATGACGTCACGGGAGCAGATCCGCACGCGCATTTTCCTTTGCTTTTCCGTAAAACCTTATCGGAAACTAGACCGTGATTTTTCCATCACTTATCAACTGTGAATTGATTTTCAATGAGCTTTCTTTGAATTTAGACTATGACAAACTCTAGCTAACCCAGCGAAGTTTAAGCAGTCTTAGGTGGGAGATGTGAGGCTTCAGTCGAATGTTCTTTGGGGGATGTCGTCCGATAAATTGATTTTAGCTTCGATTCCGAAAAGGGGAAATCATGGGGAGGATATGTCACTATTATGCAAATATTTTTTGACCGCACCATACTCGTCTTCAAAGCACTGACCGTAGCGTTACTTCAAGGGTGAAAATCGTGTCGAGGAAATAACCGCCTCTTTACGACCCCCCTCCAAAACATGGACTCTGATACGACCCCTTTTTGTCCTCTGCACATCCGGTTTCATATCAAAAAATGCTAGTTTCAGATGTGCGAGAGGGACGCAGCGCCGCTGCCACGCAAATGCGGCTTGATCCAAATGCTAGATTCAATTCTTTCTTTCCTTTAAAGACATTTAACCTTTGCCACATTGGCCGAAAGTGCAACATTGAAGTACTAGGTGCTGTCGCGTCGTGGGCTTTGACTGGAGCGCGCTAGTTGGAAAAATCGTCAAATGTACCCCTATTTAAAGGACTATAACTTTCTTCATTGATAACCATTTCAGAAAGTGAAGGCAGCTTTTGAATGCACAAGACTTCTAGTTTCTAAATTGTGCTGAGCGTTTTTCTAAGCACGCCTATTCTCGAGAGTGGGAGACGTCGAGAAATTGTCGAGGAAATTGAAATTTACATGCGAGTTCCCACTCTTGGAAGACAGTAGCTGTCTTCATTGGCAATGCTTTGGAAAATCGGAGGAAAGCGTTGTAAAGTAGAAGATTTACGCTTTCTGAAGGTGCTCCATTTGTTTCGAACGCTTTCTAGTTCGCGAGAAATCTGCGTCGAGGAAATGTCAAGGAAATTTTTGAAAGCCACTCGAAAACTCTATTACTCCCTCGCCGTAGTAGGGAACTTCTTTGAACACCTTCAAAATGCTTCTGTACACGTCAGTTCGATGGAGTAAATTGAAAATGATGCACTTGGCGCAGATCCATTCCGTTTCTTGTATGCGCCATGCAGTGACCCCACTCGGAGTCATTGGGAAGGTGTTTTGTCCTAGTGACGACTTGCTTAAGCACACCAAAAGATATTTCCAGTAACTAATTAGGATAACTCTTGTGGTCATATGATGTCTGATCATTCCTTTATTCAAATCGCTTCCTTTCCAACCCGTTCTGATGAATGACACGCTTGCGGTTGCAGGATCTGATGATGCCAAGAAGGCTGCGAATCTGCCTGTTTTGAACTTTCTACCAAGATGCTGTTCCTCCACTAAGTTCTCGAAGCATGTACATCATTCTAGAGTAGATACTCGCTGCCCTTTCCCTACGATTCTTTTGCAGGACGCGTTGCCTTCCTATGCCATACTGATCACTACGAACCAAACCAACAACCACTTTCCATTTAAATTTTAATTCCAGACAGTTGTAAGATATTATTTGCATTAGGCTAACTACAACACTTGTGAAACTAATGATGACAGCAAATAAGTGGCAGCAGCACCGTTGTGTCCGTTGATGAACCTTTTGATTACGACCCCCTCCCAACTCTCATCGGAGCAAATACGACCCCCTGTCGAGGATTTCCTCGACCGTTATTCACCCTGCTTCCAAGTGTAGGCTTTGGACAAGTTCGGTGGTCTAGCGCCGTAAGATTCGACTACCAAAGAGGACCTTGTCCACCACCTGATCGCCCCAGGCTCACGCACTTTTCCTTGTCGCGTATAAATCTAAATTTGGTCAGAATTGTGAGCTCCTATGTAGTTTGAACTACGGTCAGTGTGTTGCATTCGTTTGAAGAAGAATGCTTGCTACATGCGTTACGAGCTGATGTTCTTAAGTTTGCTCCAGAGACATGCATGCAATTGTTACTTTGACGAGTGCGAACACGATGTTTCTATGCTGACTGATCAAGAGATTAGTTTTCATCATTCCAATTGAACCCTATTTACAGACTACAGTCAGCAATACTGTTTGGTGGGCCGAAAAAAAATAACGGTTAGAAGTATGCATGCTTGAATTGTCTAGAACGATTTCATTTCTTCGCAAAGAGCGTCTTTCGGCAATATTGCTTTTTTTAAACTATTTTGCGAGAATTGTTTTCAAACTTCTAGAACATTTTTATGAAAAGCTGCAAAACGAATTTTGACCACCAAGAATCCAACCCTTCAACCTTGTAGGCCCGAGGCCGACATTTTGATCACTAGGTCACCGTTACACATCCAAGCCACGTATACATGAGTCTTGTACAAGTGCTGAGCTTTGGTGTGCTCTATATCTCAGAAACCTCGGCGACTTTCCACGTGGCCCAACAGATGTGGTGTACAGGTCTGAAATCAGCGTTCGAGATCGCTTTAGGACACACGTCTGATCTCGAACGGCCAGCCTAAAGGGTTCCGTATGCATAGCACTTCGTTTCAACCTGTTATTACTATTTTTATTTGATTGATGTTTCTATATGACGAGGTCACAAAGCTTTCTGTCCGCTTCAATTTCATGAACGATATTGATTTTTTCAGACACCTCCACGGATGGATTGGGACCTGTACCGACCCATGCTAAAACGCCATTTGATGAACTGCGTCAGAATCTTATCGAGTCAGTCAATGATTTATTCTTGTGAGCACTGAATTCGTATATGGGTCAATCGTCATCTGTTTTCAGATTCATGGAGAAAATCGTTCCCGGTAGACAAAAGCACGACAAGCAGTTCTGTCACAATGTATGGATTCATGATGGTAGGACTTTATGTCCACGTGAAATAGCTTGATCGCATGTTTTGGCGCGCTCATGGTTTAGTTTTGCTCTGACCAGGAAAGGTCATTTGGTCAACACGGTCAATTGAAATGAGATGTACAGGGGTGGCCAAAAAAAGAGACACTTTGCCCATGGCGCACATCATCGAACTTTTCGTCGCACAGGGTGCCGATGTTAATGAAAGTTTTACGGCGTAATATTCCTTAGGTGTTCCCCCGTAAGCAGAAGCAGGCCCTCCTTCACTGTCCCCGCCGTCTTCAGAATATGACGTCATCTACCGCCACCGTCGAGCTCAACGAGGCTTACCGTAATCGCTCCGGCCTGAAGCTACTTCACGATTTCTTCAATGGATTGACGATTAAATAGCTTCCTCGAGACATTAGCTGTGACTATGCAAAACCACTTTTGACCATCGTTTCAGGGACGTCGTAATGGTCTATGGTACCTCGACGACCCCGTTGAGCTCGTATCGCGAACTATATTTCCGTGGGAAAATCTTCTGATGTCGTCGGTGTAGAAGGCTGTCGTATAAGGTTTAGATAGATAAGAAGGTGCTCTTCAATAATGAGTTGGGGCAGTCGATTTGATTCTAGCAAAGTGTGATTAATGCTGTCTGAAATGTGGAGTCAAGTGTCTCTTTTTTTTTTACCTTCCCATGAGATGTATATGTGTATACGCGCCTTGGGACGCTGAGCTCAAATATGTGTTCCTTATCTGCTGAACTCTTCTCTGAAAGGAATTATGAAGCAGAAAAGCGCAGGGAGCTGTGGTCGGGGCTCACGAAAAAGAGGTCAGGAGGAGAGAGAAAGTGGGAGGGAAGGGAGAGAGGAGAAAGGGAGGGAGAACATGGTGCTGCCATGCGCCGGAGAGAAGGGGTATAAGGAGGTATAACACATTCAATAGTGAGGTGGTTAATGGAGTACGTCATGCTGCTATTCCGTGGTTCCTCCCTACCCTGTGATGCGCGCGATAGCGGGCGGAGCAAAACTGGTACTTTTATAATGCAGCTAACATGTGATTGCAGGCAAGACACTGAAAATCAAGGGCGGCAACAAAAACCCTCCGTAACTCCTTTCAGAGAAGAGTTCAGCAGATAATGAAAGCAGATTTGAGTTCAGCGTCTCATGCTGCGTACAGAAATGTGCACCTCATTTCATTTGGCCGGGTTGGCCTAATGACCTTTCCTGGTGGGTCTCAGCGGAAGCTGATGAATCCACGGTAGTTTCGCATGCGCTTGGTTTATGCCTATTCGCACCGATTTCCGCTTTTTTTTTCGAAACACTTGATATCTTAGACCGTTTCAATATTCTTAGTCACTGGGGAGAATTTTCAAACTTCAGAAGGTTCCCACAATTTTGCGATACCACAAATTTCACACGTTTTAGGCCTCTGCAGCATAGTATTTTTCAGATTTGAACTGCTCATCACTGGAGTCAGCCGTGATGCAGCGGATACGCCCTATTTTCACCGGGTACATACTGGTCACTCCACCATCACCCGCTGTGAAGAGTTTAATTGATATCGTAAGTGAAGTTTTCTTCAACTTTTGCGTGTCCAACTTTTTTGTTAATGATTTTTCGATTGACTTGTGCCGATATACAATATGCGATGTAGCAATAGTAAGAGTAAGTAATAACGAATGATCTTCGATTTGGAAGGAATACTAGCAGAGTTACCGCTGAGCTAGTGAAGGTGTAAACTAAAGGATGAAGAATGAAGCAGAGGGATTGGTCAATCTTTTCGGGATACGATACGGAATGGAAGTGGATGCCATGCATTCCACTTCCATTCCGTATCGTTGCTATGGACTCTTTGGATATGAATTGGCCTTTATAATGAATTACTGGGCCAGCCGATTATCGAGTGGGTGTTTTTATCCTTTCAGACAAGATTGGTACCAATCAACCGATGTGTGGTACGCTAAGATTGGTGCGATACTACAGCGGAGTAAACCGTTAAACTGTGTGAGGGAAGCAGTGCAAAGGAAGATTCCATTGAAGCAGTCAAAATTAACAAAATATGTATGAACAGTTAAAATCGATTTCTTTCAAGAAGAACACTCGGAGGGGATTCGGTTAGGCGAACACGAGAGGCGACCACAGAATGATTGTCCACGGCGCGGATGCAGTGCGCGACCTGGTCCCAAGGTTGAGCCACACAGGCTTTTTCCACTGAGCGCTGAAGCTTACCAATCCGAGCCCCTAAGGCTCTCTTTACTAACCCACTTAGAAAATCACCGGCATACCGCTTAGGCTCCCTCTATTCCACCACTGAGGCCCTCTTCACCAAGCTACTAAAGTGATCCACACGGAGCCTAGGCCCTTTCACGAGCCACTGCAGCTTCCACCAAACACTGCCACTAAGGCATGCAGAAGCTAGAACGTTAACGTTGGAGCACCAGAACACAGGAACTCGGGAATTAAAGGTGGAACTGGAACTACTGCACTGGAAAACGGACTTTTTTTACTGGAACTTTCCCGCACGAATCGTTTACCCTCTGGCAAAGGTGGCTGTCATGATCTCCCGCGATCAACCCTTACCACCTCCTTGTCGATACAGAGCATTCAGACCAGCGATCTGCAGCTGATATCTTGAGGCCGGCATGTCCCTTTCTGACACCGATCCCAGAGTGTTGGCAGGTCTGGTTATCCTGTGCGCCTCCCAATCCAAAATTTAATCCCTGACCGTACACGTGGTGAATGGCACCACTAGCCACGATCTGAACCTGTGTCTATAGATTGACCGAGTATATCCCGGAGTTGAAAGGTGAATCAGTCGCCTTTGAAAGGGCGGCTAGGTCGCTAGTCCTTCCTACAATTCTCCAATGCTGATTATAACTCTCCTGTTTTCCCTTGATCAAGTGCTTTCAAACAGCCATGCGGAAAACCAAAGTATAATGTGGACGTTGCTTCCTAAATCGCAATGGTAATAGACTGAATTGTTAAAATGCATGCATGGTATACTCCAAAAAGTCGACACGGCCACAACGACGGTCAACTGGCTGAATTTTGTCCAGAACTCATGCGTAAGCTACGACTGTATGACGTCTTTCTACCCAACGACGTCAGCAAGTCTCTTTGACCTCCTGTCCACGAGATATGGCTCGAGATAGAGCACAAAATCCAGTTTGGGAGGTTTACTCGCTATCTTATCCGTTGTACTAGAGAGCATCCCTTTGGGCTATCCTACACCACGGATAAGATAATAAGTGAACCACTCATTCCAAGCGTAGTTTTGATGAGGACTGATGGATGTTCTAGGCCGACGTCATACTTTGCGATTCGATTAGCGATTCGCTCGATTCGCTAGGGATTTGCCAGCGATTCGCTAATCGAATCGCAAAGTATGACGTCGGCCCTACACTCCGCCCATCCTGCACTCATCCTATCCACTTTTCTGCACAGATCATCCACCCTGGAGCTTCTTCCACCTTTAGAGATGTCCATTCTGCTGGTCCAGGACCGTTTCCTTGGACCATGGCAGGCGGAAATGTGAAAGCATCTCAGGGTTCCTTCCACATTCACACCGGTACTTATCGGGAGTATCCTTCAAATGAGTCAATTGCATGTCATAAGCGCTCTCGTCCTTAGCTTGAGTACTGGAAAGACAGTGGAGTCCCCTTACCCCAACTGGAGTTTCACCGATTGGGAGTTGAGACCGACTTTCTTAGCATAGAAGGGAGTTGGTCCCAACTCCCAATAACTTCAGAAATTTTGTATTTTGTATGCTTAGCATTTGAGTCATTCAAGCTTCTTTCTAGGTAGGAACTGTATTTTTTTAGCAGACCCTCTACATTTTAGTGCGTTTTCATCAGTTTTTATGAGCAAAATTTTCAGCTAAACAGTCCGCTTCGAATGGCGGACTTTCTTCGACAACTGCTGTACGAATACCCAGAAATTGCCGATAGTCTACAGAATGCGCTTCATGGAAGTGATCTGAGAGCAGCTAGCTTGGTACGTGTGACGTGAGGCCCATGGATTAGGTTATCCCATATCTAGTGTCTTTTTATTTCCAATGACAAATTTTCTGCAAAAATTCCAAGTTCTTACATGTCGTGTACCATTTAGAAGAGTTTTTTTATAGTCCACAAAATGGTATTTTTCCGTCCATATTCGCTGAAGAGATTTTAAATTTTGAGCTTGCAAAATGGGAGGTAGAGCCGACGGAAACTAGCACAACCGGCAGCTAGGTTTACCTCCATTTCTTTTAGAAACCCTGGAGAAATCAACCGGTGATGTACCTTTTACTTGAGCGCAATGTCTTTTATAAGGTACCCCAAAAAGTCGCATGTTTTCTTTTTTGAATGGTTCTTCCGTCAGAACTGGATAGTTAAGACAATCGCGTCAAATCTAGACCACAACATTTTTTTACAGTCGAAGCGTTGAAGACTAGTGGAACATCATGAAGAGGTCATGGCAAAGTTTGAAATGTGTGCCTGATCGATTTTATCGTTTTCCATTTTCTGGGAAATTTTTTTTCGAAGTTCTATGGTCATTCTCGTGAACTATGTAGAT